TGTGCTTTAGGTGAAAGTTTACAGTGCAAATTAGTTTCTCATTCAAAAATTTATACACAAATTGTTTTGTGACATTGGTTGCAATCCCTGCAATGTGTAAGCACTCTCCCCCTTTCCACCCTGGGTACCCTGTGTCCATTGATCCAGTTTTCCTGTCCCTTCCTGCCTTCTCATCTTTGCTTTTGGGCAGATGTTGTCCATTTGGTCTCAAATAGTTGATGGAACTAAGAAGCACATTCCTCACGTTACTGTTTGTTTTATAGGCCTGTCTAATCTGGCTGAAACGTGGACTTCAGGAGTGGCTTCAGTTCTGAGTTAGCAGGGTGTCTGGGGGCCATAGTCTCAGGGGTTCCTCCAGTCTCTGTCAGACCAGTAAGTCTGGTCTTTTTGTGTGTGTGTGTGTGAATTTGAATTTTGTTTTACATTTTTCTCCAGCTCCGTCTGGGACTCTATTGTGGTCCCTGTGAAGAGTGGTGAGTGGTGGTAGCACCATTTAGTTCTTAGGGGGCTCAGGCTGGTAACGGCTGTGGTTCATGTGGTCCATTAGTCCTTTGGACTAATATTTTCCTTGAGTCTTTGGTTTTCTTCATTCTCCTTTGATCCAGACAGATGGGACCAGCAGATGTATCTTACGTGGCCGCTCACAAGCTTTTACGACCCCAGACACTACTCACCAAAGTAGGATGTAGAACATTTTCTTTATGAACTATGTTATGCCAATTGACCTAGATATTCCCCGAGACCGCGGTCCTCAGCCCTCAGCCCCAGTAACTCAGTCCCTCAAGGTATGTGGATGTGTCTAGGAAACTTCTATGACTTTACCTTGGTCAAGTTGTGCTGACTTCCTCTGTACTGTGTGTTGTCTTTCCTTTCACCAGAGTTAATACTTGTCCACTATCTAGTTAGTGATGACCCCTCCCCACCCCTCCCCTGCCTTGTAGCCATTAAAAATTTTTGTTTTTCTGTATGTAAACCTTTTCTTGAGTTTTTATAATAGTGGTCTCATACAATATTTGTCCTCTTGTGATTGACTTACTTTACTCCAGACTCATCCATAATGTGAGATGTTTTGCAGATTCATCATTGTTCTTTACTGTTGCATAATAGGGTAGATTTTTGAACTCATTTTTTTTTTTAAATTTTGATCAAAGTAATCCACTATATAAATAAATGTCTTAAAAGTCAAATATACTGCTAGTTTTATAACAAAAAAACAACAATCCTCTGTCCTACTATATCCTCTCTCAGTCCCATACTCCAGAAGTAATAATAATCTATTTTAGCTGTCCCCCACACTCCCAGGTATTTGTTTCCATATTTCTAAATAATATAATTACATTTCTATTTCTTGCCTTTTTTTCAATATTAGATATTACCTCTTGTCTTCCACTATAGTTTTCTAACCATACTGCTCCCAACTCTCCCTTTACTCTCCCAATATAGCTGTATCAGAACTTTTTGTTAAGTCAGTACTTAATGCTTATAACTATGTATAGTTCACAGCTGATAAATTCTATCATTCCTTTACTATTGTTTTATCTCCCATTTCCTTTGTTCTTAATGAATTTATTCTTTTTAAAAAATTATTTTACTTTCATTTTAGTGGAATTTCAGAAAGGAGTGATGATAAATGCCACCATGTTTTACTTGACATCTGAATAGATATATTTATACTCTTTTGTATTTGTAAAGGAGGAGATTATGACTCAGAGAGTCTAAATAATTTGTCTAAGATCACCTGTCTATTAAATGACAGAGGCAATGTATGACCCCAGGCACACCTGACTCCAAAGCTCACAATTTTTCTATTTCTACTGTGACAAATACCCCGAAATAATTTAAACTCAATTATTCCTATAACCACTTATCTTTCTGCATCATACAAATAGTTTCATACCCAGTATTTAAAGTAGGAAAATCCTAGTAGCTTTCTTTTGCATGTGCTAAAACTTCTGACCCATGGAAATAATGTAAATTATTACAAGCACTGTAAAATAAACTTACTTATGTTAATTATCTCAAATTAAGCAGGAGAGGTGAGAGAGTAAAATTCAATTAACTAGCAAAAGCTAGGAGTTAAAACAAAAATCAGAAAGACAAAGAAAAAAAAAAAGGGCTAGGTTTACAAGGAAATCCTTCGTGGCAGTCATTAATGAGTTCCCAAATATTTCTGGCTTTCTGTCTTGTAGGCACATGGTGGAACTGCACATTTGAATCCCACCCTTACCCCCTATAGTTGGGTGGGACCGTGTGACTACTTCTGGCCAGAGCATTATGAGAAGTGAAATGCAGAAGATCTGGGCATTTATTAACCAAAATGAGACTCTCCAGACCTCTTCTGAGCTGAACAGAATATTTCAAGGGGTAGTTGAGGAAGACAAAGTATTACAATGAAATGTGCAAAGACCTGGAGTTAGAAAACCAAAAGGGAAGAACATGCTTGGCATTTCTCATGCTGAAAGAACTGAGGAAAAAATTCAAGCCTCAAGTTGGAATATTGAAGGATTCTATGGGCAAAATATTGGATAATGCAAGAAGCATCAAAAGAAGATGGGAAGAATACAGAGAGTCACTGGACCAAAAAAAACTGGTTGATGTTCAACCATTTCAGGAGGTAGTATATGATCAAGAACCAATGGTACTGAAGGAAGAAGCTACACTGAAGGCACTGGCAAAAAACAAGGTTCTAGGAATTGACAGAATACCAATTGAGATGTTTCAACAAACAGATGCAGCAATGGTGGTGCTAATTCATCTATGCCAAGAAATTTGGAAGACAGCTACCTGGCCAACTGACTGGAAGAGATCCATATTTGTGTCCATTCCAAAGAAAGATGATCCAACAGAGTGCAGATATTAACCAACAGTATCATTAATATTACATACAAGTAAAATTTTGCTGAAGATCATTCAAAAGTGGTTGTAGTAGTACATCAACAGGCAACTGCCAGAAGTTCAAGCTGGATTCAGAAGAGGACATTGGAACACAGGATATCATTGCTAATGTCGGGTGGATCTTGGCTGAAAGCAAAGAATACCAGAAAGATGTTGACCTGTGTTTTACTGACTATGCAAAGGCATTCAACTGTGTGTATCATAACAAATTATGGATAACATTTCGAAGAATGCAACTTCCAGAACACTTAATTGTGCTCACACGGAACCTGTACATAGACCAAGAGGCAGTCGTTTGAACAGAACAAGGTGACGCCATCAGGAAAGGTGTGCATCAGGGTTGTATCCTTTCACCATACTTATTCAATCTGTATGCTGAGCAAATAATCTGAGAAGCTGGGCTATATGAAGAAGAACACGGCATTAGGATTGGAGGAAGGCTTATTAACAACCTGTGATATGCAAATTATACAACCGCGTTTGCTGAAAGTGAAGTGTACTTGAAGCACTTATTAATGAAGGTCAAAGGCTACAGCCTTCAGTATGGATTATACCTCAACATAAAGAAAACAAAAATCCTCACAACTGGACCAATAAGCAACATCATGATAAACGGATAAAAGATTGACGTCAAGGATTTCATTTTACTTGGATCCACAATCAACACCTATGGAAGCAGCCATCAAGAAATCAAATGATGTATTGCATTGGACAAATATGCTGCAGAAGACCTCTTTAAAATGTTAAAAAGCAAAGATGTCACGTTGAGGACCGAGGTGGGCCTGATTCAAGCTATGGTATTTTCAATCACCTCATATGCATGTGAAAGCTGGACAATGAATAAGGAACACCAAAGAAGAACTGATGACTCTGAATTATGGTGTTGGCGAAGAATACTGAATACACCATGGAATGCCAGAAGAACAAACAAACCTGTCTTAGACGAAGTACAGCCAGAATGCTCCTTAGAAGCCAAGGTGGCAAACTTTGTCTCAGGTACTCTGGACATGTTACCAGGAAGGACCAGTCCCTGGAGAAGGACATCATGCTTGTTAAAGTAGAGGGTCAGTGAAAAAGAGGAAGACCTTCAATGAAATGGGTTGACACACTGGCTACAAAAATGGGCTCAAGCATAACAATGATTGTGAGGATCGTGCAGGACTGGGCAGTGTTTCATTCTGTTGTACACAGGGTCACTATGAGTCAGAACTGACTCGATGTCACCTAACAATAAACCTCTTTTCTCTCTGGCACAGAGACCAGCCATCTTCAAGGT